TATAATAGATAATTAGTTGCTCATATTTACAGTGTACTATTCAATGAGGTTTTTTTCTAATTATAGTTGGCATACATAAATATATTAGTTTCAGTTGTATAGCATAGTGACAAACAGAAAAACTCATAGTTACAAAGAATATTTGAGGGTTTCTGTCTTTTACATGTGAATATCCAGTTTCCCCAGCACAATTTATTGAAGAGACTGTCTTTTTTTCCATTGTATAATCTTGGCTCTCTTTTCAAATATTAGGCATGGATTTATTTCTGGACCTCTTGATTCCATTCCATTGGTCTGTATCTGTTTTTATGCCAGTATGATATTGTTTTAATTATTATGGTATAGCTTGGAACCAGGAAGTGTGAGGCATCTAACTTTGTTCTTTTTTCTCAGGAATACTTTGGTTATTCAGGATCTTCAAGAATTTTAGGATTGTTTTCTACACTTCTGTGAAAAATGCCATTGGAGTCTTGTTAGGGATTGCATTGAATCTAGATTGCTTTGGGTAGTACAGACATTTTAGCAATTATAATTCTTCCTATCCATGAGCACAGTATACATTTCTATTTGTACCTTCTTCAATGTCTATTATCAAAGTCTTATAGTTTTTAGGGTAGGGATTTTTCACCTCCTTAGTTAAATTTATTCTAGATATTTTGTTATTTTTGATGCTCTTATAAGTGGGATAATTTCCTTTATTTCATTTTCAGATAATTTATTATTTGTATAGAGAAATACTACTAACTTTTGCATGTTGATTTAATGTCCTCCAAGTTTACTAAATTCATTGGTTAAATCTAACAGGTTTTCTTTTTTAGAATAATTTATTATTATTATTATTTTTGGTGACATTGGTTAAAGAAATTCAGTAAATTTCAGGTGTACAATTTAACAGTAAGATGTATATATATTGCATTGTGTTTTCCCCTCCCATAGTTAGATTTCTTTCTGTCACCACATATTTGACCCCTTTTACCCCATCTACCTCCCTCTCCCAACTCCCTCACTACCCTCTGGTAATCACTAGTCTATTTTTTTGTCTTATTTTTGAGTCTCTGTTTGTTTGTCCTGTTTGTTTGTTGTTTTTATGTTTATGTCCCACATATAAGTGATATCATGTGATTTTCAACTTTTTCTGTCTGGATTATTTTGCTTAGCATTATTATCTTGAGGTCTATCCATGTTGTCACAAATGGCAATATTTCATCTATTCTTATGGCTGAATAATATTCCATTGTATATATGTACCACAGTTTCTTTATCCAATCATTTATAGAAGGACACTTTGGTTACTTCCATGTTCTGGCTACTACAAATAATTCTGCTATGAACATCGGTGTGCAAATATCTTTTCAGATATGGGTTTTCAAGTCTTTGGGGTAAACACCTAGTAGAGGGATTGCTGAATCATATAGTAGATCATTTCTTAGTTTTTTGAGGAACCTCCATACTGTTTTCCAATTTGCAGTCCCACCAGCACTGTATGAGGGTTCCTTTTTCTCTGCTTCCTCTCCAACATTTGTTATTACTTGTCTAACAAGTTTTCTTTTGGTTGAGTCTTTAGGATTTTCTCTATATAAAATTATATCATCTGTAAATAGAGACAATTTTATTTCTTTCTCTCCAAATCTGATTATTGCTCCAAATTTTATTTCTCTTTCTTGTCTGATTGCTCTGGCTAAGACTTCTAGTACTATGTTGAATAGGAGTGGTGAGAATAGATACTCATCATGTTATTGTTCATTAAGAAAAGCTTTCAAGCTTTCGCCACTGAATATGGTGTTTAACTGTGGTCTTGTCATATGTGGTTTTTATTATGTTGAGGTGTGTTCCTTTTATACCAGATTTATTGATTGTTACAAATGGATGCTGAATTTTGTTAAATGTTTTTCTGCATCTATTGAGATGATCACATAATCTTTATCTATTGCTGTATTAATGTGATGTATTGTATTTATGTATTCGTATATTTTGAAACATCCTTGCATCCCAGGGATAAATTTTACTTTATTGTGGTAAATTATCCTCTTCATGTGCTGTTAAATTTGGTTTACTAATATTTTCTTGAGAATATTTTTATGTATATTTATCAAGGATATCAACCTATAGTGTTCTTTTTTAAAAAATCTTATTTATTTATTTATT